ATGTTACTAAGAAGGAGGTAAATGTAAAACTGTAATTGACAAAGCAGCAGCCAGCCATCCCTCACCTTAGCTGGGAGAGGGGGGTGCTTTTTAAAATACTTTCAGATCTGTCTGCTCACCCTTATGTATGTTTTGTAATCTAGTCTGATGAGGTGCCAAGCCCCAGCCCTTCAAATCTGAAGTGTATTTTGGGGATTACTTGGGGACTTCGTTGCACCCATGAAAAAGGAAGAGAGACTTAATGATTGATATGCTGGGGAAAACCTCCAGCAATTAGAGCAGAGTCAACAGGACAATCCTATTAATAGCAAAAGAAAAGAAATAATATAAATCAGGGTTAAAGTACAGGAGAGGAAAAACATAAAAACAACTCAATTTGTATTCCCCATATGTTTGTTTGCCATTCAGATTTCTACCTTTGTGAAACTTGTGTTCAGGCCCTTTGCCTACCTCCTCAATGGGCTATTTGTTTTTCCCTTATTTAGGTTAGCAGAGTACTGTAGATTTTATTAATAAAATCTTTGTCTAAAGTGTCAATGCTGAAGATGTTTTCCCAATCTGTGAGTTCTTGTCAAATTCTTTCAATGTACACAATGTTTTATCTTCATTATATCCCACTTATCAATTTGTGCTTTCTTTGGTTTGTGTCCTTCCTTATATCTGATATCCTATGTATTCCCTATACCAAAGTTCTTAGATTTGTCCCAATTCCTTCATTGATGGCCCTAATAGTTTTAGGTTTAAGCTTGAGGTCTGTAATACACCATGAATTTATTCTTGTGCATGGAGTAAAGTAAGGATCTAGCTTCATTTTTCTGTGGGTAGATGCGGTATGAGTTGGGATGAGGCCAGCCCCCCACCGCTAGTCACGGGTTTAATTAGCACAATTGTACGGTTGAGATATATATATATTAAAGTCATCGAAAGCATGAGAGATAAAAGAGATATTGCAATAATGGAGTCAGACACATTTCATGGTAGCATGCTCACCTCAGCCCCGCTTGATGGTCCATGTGGACAGAGGGGGAAGGGGAGGAGGATGAGGGGAAAGGGAAATGGGAGAAGAGGGAGCCGAGGAGAGGTCAAGGGAGGATTCAAGAGAGTGAGGGGGAGAGAGGAGAGAGTGATCTCTATCACTTACCCAGGCCTATATACCTTTTAGGGGCATGCAAGCCCACTGATTACAGGTAAAGACACACATCACAGGAAGGGGTTGCACTATAGGTTATACAGCAATGAGAGGGGGTGGTCTAGGGACATATATGCAATAGGAAGAGGGATTTGGGGTATACATGTGACAAGATGGGTGGATCCTAGATTTAGGATGATAGCTTAACTTTGAATGTCACAGAGCTGGTTTGACCTGTTCCCTGGTTCAACAGTAGGATGTGAACTCCACCTACAGGAACCAAGCTAATGGTGGCAAGCCTTAGGGAGAAGCAATCCATTGTCCCCAACAGCAGGGAGCAGGGCCTACTCCCTGGTGACTAACTGTCTTCAGGGAGGTTGTCTGTAAGCATCTGACCTCCCCCCACAGGTAGATATTCTTTTTTTTCCAGCACCACTTGTTTAAGAAGGCATCTGCTTCTCATTTGATATTCTGGGGGCCCTTTTCAAGAATCAGTTGTCTGTATGCTGATTTCATTTCTGGGTTTGCAGTTCTTTTCCATTGGTCTGAATATCTGTCATTATACAAGTGCCACACTATTTTGACCACTGTGGCTGTATAATAGGTGCTAAAGACAGGTAAAGAAAGCGCTCCAACTTTGTCCTCCTTGAGGAGTTCTCTGCTAATTCTTGTTTCTTCCCTTTCCATATGCGGTTGGTAGTTAGTGTTTCCAATTCTTTGAAGAAAGATGTTGGTTTTTTTATCGGATAGCATTAAACTTATGTAGTGCTTGGACAGGACTGACATCTTTAGTATATAGTCTTTCAATCCACGAGCATTGGATAGTCTTCCATTTGTGGAGGTCACTCTTGTAATCGTGTTCTGTAGTTCTCCTCATACAAATCTTTTGGTTTTTTGGTAAGGTATATGTATTAGTCTGGGTACTTTGGAGAAACAAATCCACGGCGACTCACGTATAAGAAGAGAGTTTTATGTAAAGAAAAGGTGCATCATGAAAACATCCCAACCCAATGCTGCCCAAGCCCACAAGTCCAACATTAACCCATTAACCCAACACCAGTCCACAAAGTCCTCCACCTCACAAA